AAAGGTGAAAAAATAAATTTTGTGCTGTGATTACTTTTATCCTAATGTCAATGAATCAGAAGCATTTAGAATCTGTATTATTTTCTTTTGTCAATTCTTTTACAAAGGGGACATAAATAATTATAAAGGCACCTGAAGTTATTATTTGTTTTTACACTTTTGGGAGAAAAAAAAAAGACAGGAAGGGACAACATATATCACTCATATGATTTTTTACAGTGTAGGTAAAAAGCATTAGTCATTTTAATTTACTAGCATTGCTCTCCAACAATATCTTCATGACTCCAAGCTCATTTCAGAACATAAAGATTTAAGATTTCAAAACCTATTTAATTATGTCATCTAGGAAAATGGACAAACATATTTATATTACTGAAAGATCTTTTTTCACACTCCAGCACCTCAAAACTACACCAACCATACTCCAGCTCCTCCATCTTCATCGTTTTCTGATTCGTCTACTCTAGAAGCAAAAACTGCCCTGAGAGTTTTGGTAATAATTTGCTTGATTGACTTTACCAACTACGTATGCATCCTGTCTTCATCTATTTGCGCAGCTGTAACAAAATACCTCAGACTGAGTAATTTATAAATTATAGAAATGTAATGCTCATAGTTCTAGAGGCTGGAAAGGCCAAGAGGAAGGTATCAGTAGAGTTAGTATCTGGTGTGGGCTTGATCTCTGTTTCAAAGATGACACCTTCTTTCTGGGTCTTCACAAGGCAGAAGAGGCAAATAAATTCTTTTGGGCCTCCTTTATAAAGGCACTAATCCCACAGATGATGGTGGGATTAGCCTCTTCTTGCCTAATAATACCATGGGTCTTAGTACCATCACACTGGGGATTAAGTGTTAGGATATGAATTTTAAGGAGACACAAACATTTAAACCAGAGTATTCTGCCCTTGACCACTCCCTTCCATTCATGTCTTCCTTAAATGCACGTTCCATTCCTCTAGGCTCAAAACTCTTAATTTGTTCCAACTCAATAGTCTAAAGTCCCCAGAGTCTCATTCAAATGACATTTAAACCAGATATGGGTGAGGCTCAGGAGAGAATTCATCCTGGCAAAAACTGCTCTCCAGTTGTGAATTTTTTCTTTTGTCAAGTGCCTATAGAAGTTTTACTCATTTTTCTATTAGATTAGACAGAAGAATTAAATGAAATTCAGAGATCACAATGGCTTAAATGTTCTGTATGAGAGAAAAACTTTACAAAAGTTAAGTAACAACAGATTGACAGAATTGACTTGCAAAACAGAAATAGCTCCAAATCAATACAAGCAGGTCAAACTATGTAACAGAAGAATAGGCAAAGAATATAAACAGGTAAATTTAAGAATAAAAAAAATTAGACTGATTTTAATAAGCTCAACTTCAGTAATAATCAGAGAATGCAAACTAATAAACTACTTTTTCTCTTCCTTCCTTCCTTCCTTCCTTCCTTCCTTCCTTCCTTCCTTCCTTCCTTCCTCCTTCCCTCCCT